CTTTCCCACTCCATGCTCCTGAACCACTTTACCCCTTTACGTGCGACTTTGCAGAAGAGCGATTGTCTGTAAGTGCGGTACCTCTCGTATCCTCTAAGAGATCACTAATTCCTTGAGTGGAAATCTTTCTCAGCCACCTCGGTATTCCAAAGCCTGAAGACAGCGTCCGGCATGTAAGAGGTAAGTAGGTGGGGTCCTCAGATGGTGGAGAGTGAAAGAGGGAAGGGGGGCCCTTTCATTTCTGGCTGTAATTATCGCTCCTGCCCTGTTCAGGTCATGTCGTGATGCCAGAGCCAATATCAAATGACTATTTCCTGCAATTTGAGATAGAAACATCCCAGTGTAAGTAGTAGCTACCTACGGCCCCTCTGCACCTGTATTTTCGCTTTACTGCCTTCAATGCTTTCTTTTCATTTTTTCATTTTAATACCAGAGGGTACATGCACTTGCCAGAGAGAGAGAGAAACAGAATCCTCGACGGAACGTGGCATCCAGTAATGCCATCCCCTCCATTTTCCCATCCTGTCAGAATTCTGTGCTCACATGCACACACACCTGGCATGTTTTACATCTGGCAGGCCCGGAATTCAAGCTATGTAGAATCTGCTTCCCTTAACCACTAGGCAAACCTGTAGGATTTGCCTTATCACCTTTAATTCTTTAAAATTCCAAACTCTTTTTTTAAAATTTTTTAAGGTTTATGCCACAGGGTGCATATGCTTGCCAGACAGAGACAGTGAGAGGGAAAGTGAGAAATCATCTCCCAGGGGGATGGCCACACCCCAATCCCTTCTCCTCCATACTCCTCCTAGGACTATGGGCACACACGCACACACGCGACTATCAACCCACCAGGTTAGCAACTCATATACCAAGGACATCCATATGGTAGTCCAATATCCCAACCACCACGCCACCTGCCAGCCCCTAAAATTCCACAATCTTAATCATTTTAGACTTGAACTATTTTTCACAGTGACAAGGACACAGTGGTATCTGCATAGAAGCTCAGTCCGTTATCTGAGCTTCTATCATTTTATTTTCTCCCACCTACTGGCTCCATAGCCAAAGGTAAAAGTCACTGAAGCGAATATGGTCTCAATTTCCTCATCCAAAACATGGAAACCATGCAAGCCCTGTTCTCCTTCCACAGTTGTTGCAAAACCAGACAAGTGCTAAAAAAAAAAAAAGGAATCCCTACCACTGCCAGTACAAGACAATCTCTGACTCATACTGACACTTTATTTCAAATGACGATAACACCTACAGGCAGTACTGAAAAGGACAAAGTAAAAAATCATTTGGGAGTAACTCAATGCCCTATCATCCATCCTTCAAAGCCTGTGTGCCTCCGAAGTGTGGCCTGAGCACCCCAGAACACAGCAGCTGCAGCTCCTTCGAATTCCACCTGGACACCTGCCAGCATGTCACTTACCTCGCTTTTATCACTCACAGCTCGGACTTGCACCGACTCTGTCAGATGCATTTTATCCCCAAGCTCAATAAATCCAGGCAGCGTCCAGGGTTTTATTTTCTTGGCTCTCAAACCTCAATTTGCACTGCACTCTGTACAACTTCTATATTCACTGAACTAAAGGGCTATGAGCTGGTGTCATCTTAATTTTAGAAGCCTTCTTTATTGTAGCTGCAGCTCCTTCGAATTCCACCTGGACACCTGCCAGCATGTCACTTACCTCGCTTTTATCACTCACAGCTCGGACTTGCACCGACTCTGTCAGATGCATTTTATCCCCAAGCTCAATAAATCCAGGCAGCGTCCAGGGTTTTATTTTCTTGGCTCTCAAACCTCAATTTGCACTGCACTCTGTACAACTTCTATATTCACTGAACTAAAGGGCTATGAGCTGGTGTCATCTTAATTTTAGAAGCCTTCTTTATTGTAAAAAAAAAAAAAAAAAAAAAAAGCAAAATTGAGAATCGATTTTTTAAATGTAATAGTGGTGATTAAGTCACCAACCTTGACCACAGTCACCATCAAAAATTACTGTCTCCCTATTTTTCAACTAGATGGTGGTGTCGCCTAAAAGGGATTTCATTAAAAATCTTTACACATGAACAAAACCCACCCAGACAACAAATAACTGCTCTTTTCTTTTCATCTGTGAGGGTGATAAGGCATCTCCTTAAAGAACTAAATTGCTGTCAATTCACAGACAAAAAGAAAAAAAAAATCAAGGGAGGAATTAGGGGGCTGTTTTCTATAGAGTTCCCTTGGTTGATAGCAGTGCTACTCATTTTAAATAACCATGTCCTCGGGCCTTCCATTTCTGATTCTTTCCACCTTTCAGTATTCTCTAGTCCTGCTATTAGGAACACTGCTAGTTCAAATCAAATGTGATTGCGATTTGCCGGTACATTATATGTAGCTAATGTAGTAATGCTTTAAAATTAGTAGTGATTTGCTGTTTTCAAAGCATTTGCATGTGCAGCAACTCACGAGGTATTCGTCGCAAGTCTCAGTAGCCAGAGGATGGGATCCAGAGTGCCCCACTGAACAGAGTAGCAACACCTGCCTTGACACAGAGGCTACTGCAAGGATTTAAGGCCACACCAGGAAATAATGAGCTTCCTGAAGTCGTACCTACTAGAAAAATGTTCTTGAAATGAATAGGAGTGTATCAAAAGAGATTTCAATTATGGTAGCATAAGGTGCTTTCACGACAAAGCAAGAAGATCTAGGCAAAAGCATCCCACAGAAGAACACAATTCCCTCTTCCTCTCAGCGCACGCTAGGGTTCCTCTTCATGTGCTCACTTTGACCTACTGAAATTACCATCCCACTGCCACCCCCAAAGTGGAAACTACCCACTGGCATTGCAGCTTAGACTCCAAAGCCTTTGAGCTGGAGTTCACTGTTCTCATTCTCACCCCTGCCCGCAGGACCACACATTTTGTCCTCCACAGTCACTCTGAGTAATCTCTTTGTGACATATTTTAGACACAAAGAAGAGAATACAGGAGAAGACAGTATTTTGAGAAAGGAGTAGAAGTTCAATTTCCAGGGCAAATGGGCTTTTGACCGGTCCAGCTTACCCATCAGGAATGCAAGGGAAGGCTAGGAGTGTAAAAATCAAAGACACTGTGTGCCCTCCAAATTGAGGTGCTGAAATTTGTTTGTGACAATGAAGAAGGTGAAAACGGAATGTGCCTCTGCCTAATGTGTCCCTTTATACCGACCTGTCTACAATAACAGGGGACTTGGTGGATTCCTTAGCTATCTCGGAAGCTACGATGTAGTTGCCCAGCGAGTAAAACGCTCTTCTAATGATCGTGGGTTCATCATCAAAGATCTTCCTCCACTGCCCAATGCAAGCAGGCGGAGACTTCAAGAGGGCAGCCTGGAGCTCATCTGAAACTGACTGGGTCACCGTAGTTTTACCTGCAAGTCAGACACAAAACATGACACAGCTGAACCACTGCCATCAGGTTACTCCAGAAGTTCCTATCAGCTTAGAGAGAGCAAAGAAATTCTTTCAGCCTGAAACTCACAGCAGTTGATGACACAACCCAATTCTTCGTAAAAATCTACAAGCCTATGGGAACTTAGGATTCCAGTTTGGCATTGCAATACTTGGAGAAACAACAAAGTGGTCCTCTTATGTACAAGTTCCTGCAAACTCGGGTGTCCAGGGTAGACACCAAAGCCCCTCGATGTGCCACTTTTATTCCGTGCCCATCCAGTGTACACTGGAAAACAACATCTGTGCACTCACCACACCACCCGCCACTGGACATGTTCTCCTGTCTCGGTCCCTTTCTAAGGAGCAACTCGGGCGTGGCAGCCTGCCGACTCTCCTCACTCTACCTCCCTCCCTAACTTCTCCCCAACCTGCTTCTAGTCCACCCTCCCCAGTTCCCAGCTCTGCTTCTATCACTCTCTCCTGCTCTTGCCACTTTGGGCTTGGCTTTCAGAGCTTCTGTATCTGGCTTTGAGCTTCATGTTCCTTTCGAAAGGAGGATTTGGTTTCACTTCCCTTTCTGGCTCCCCTGTGGAGAGCATCAGGTGGTACTCACCTGGACTCCTTCTCTAGACCTAGCAAGCTGGGTAGTGATAACAATTCAGTCTACCCTGGACGCTGTTCACCAGCTTCTCTGGGATCCTATGGTTTAGATATCTTTTCCCCATCACACACTTAATACTTTATGACCAACTGTTTATTTATCTTGCATTAGGATGAACCCTAATACTCAGCACCTTTTCTCTGTGTGCACACAAGCAATGCGTATTATGCTTCCAGTGGTCACAGTGGCACTGCAAAGTAGTTCCTCCTGAATCATCTTACAGAGACAGAGACTGAGCACTGGACGAGTTAACAGGTCCACCAACTGCGCCCTGCTGACAGGCCGGGACCGGGATGCAAACCTAAGCAGCTAGAATCATGAGCTCCTGCCTGTCTCCCCTCCAGGCTATCTCCCTGTGAGTTCTGATGTGTGGAAGTGCATGGGCAGCTAGATGTGTGCGCCTCTTGCAACCCATCTCATGAAAATTAGCTTCAGTACAAACTAAGTGATCAACCAAACCCACTGGCTGAAGGGTGGTGCTGGTCCACTTCTCTCCAACTGGTACAAAGTGACGACTGTGGGGTTGCATTGTGATACAGCACTGATGCTCAAGTGTTGACAGCTGGTCTCCGTGAGACCAAAGGACACTTCCTGGTCCTTCAGATGGAACCAGGACAATCGGCACCAGCCACTGGCCTGTGCCACACTGTACCCAGCTGCGTACTTGAAGGATCCCAGTGTGGAAAGTGCCGTTCACATTATCTTTTTTATTTCTCAAAGACAGGGTCTCCTTGTACCTAGAGGCTCTGGCCTCAGCCTCCCAGGATGCTGGGCCTGCAGACTTCTGCCAGCTCTTTTGCAGACAGGACCTCATAATATTGCCCACGCTAACTTCAATCTCATGATCTCCCTGCCTCAGCCTTGTAGGCACGGGCTGGCAGCACCATGCCTGATCTTCAGGCTGGACCAGGACCCAGAAGCTGGCCTCCCGTGTGTCCCAGCCTGCATAGCACAGCATCTTGGGCTGCCTTCCACATCACTATAGGTAACAGCTGTCGTGTTGACAACAGAAAGAAGCTCATCAGTTAATATTATTGCCGACAACCAAAAAGTAATACTTATCCTCTTACCCGTGGCATCCAGTCCTTCAATGGCAATGACTTGGAACTTTCCTTTCTGGACCTGTCTTGGGCACTGGTCAACTAGGTTAAGTACCGCCCGGGCTTCCGTAATAAAGGGTGTACACTGGAAAACAACATCTGTCCGTCAGCAATGAGGCAATGGGGTTTTGCAGAGACCATCTCTAAATGCTGACCAGAGGTTGTGCGATGCTAAGGAAGCATAAGTTATCACGCTGGGGCCAGAGAGCACATGGTGTTTCAAAGCTGTGATGCCCAGGGACCAGCAATTAGCATAATGGCTATGTCGCTGGACTCCCACGTGGTCGACCGTGGTTCGAGTCCTGAACCTGGTGACTTAGACTCACGCCGGGTGTGTGTGCGTGCATGCCCAAGATCCCGAGAGGAGAATGGAGGAGAAGGGATTGCGGCGTGGCCATCCCCCCTGGGGGGTGATTTCTTGCTTTCTGTCTCTCTGTCTCTGTCTGTCTGTCTGGCAAGTTCACATGCCCTATAGCAAAAACCTCTCCAAAAAAAAAAAAAAAAGAAAAGCTATGATGCCCAGAGTAGCTGAGAATCAGACAAGTTATGTGTCTGGATCACTCAGCCTGCAGCCCTCACTGAGCAGTGTCCGGTCCTAACCCGTAAGCAAGCACAGTGTGATTAACAGTGGACCAGCCTGCCTGGGAGCAGTGCACGGCAGACGTGGAAGGTTGGCTGCACTGGGGGCTCCAGAGAGCACCTGCCATTGCGGCTGGTCCTCCCCTAACCTCTCCAGGGCTGAGCTGCTTGCCAGGCACTGCACCCACAAAGCCACGCAGCAGAGCCTCCTGGGAACTCGGAGCCTTTCACCAGGCATTATCTCGCCGTGTGTTCACAGCAGCTCCACGGTGAGGCCCGGAGACTGCCTGACTTAGTGCTTGCTCAGAGCAAGGTCATCTTAGAAATATTTGGTAAGTGCTGAGCTGGCCAGACTCCAAGATCACTCTGTGAGTGTGCTGCTGTTATTATTCCCATCTTAGGAACTAAGGAACTGAGGCAAAGGGTGAGGTACCTCACTGAAAAGGACACCATTACAAAATGCCGGGCTTTGGGTTCAAACCCAAGCAGAAGATCTTGCACCCTTGACCACCCACAGCCTTGTAAAGCAGGTCTTAGACCCATAGGGAGGCCGCGGCTCCACACTGCAGGCTCTGCCTAACCTGGGTCAGAAAGAATCTTTGGACTGCTTCGTGGCACCTGCTGTGAGTCAGATGTCTTGTTAATCATCACAACATCACTACGTCACAGAATGAAAGCGAGAGACTGAAACAGAACTGGGAGTAGCTGGATACCCAGCACAAGGTCCAAGCCAGTGAGCGCTAGGCAAGTCCAAGCTTCTTTAACCTCAGGCTCATGCACTTTCCTCCACAAGGCAAGCTCCTTGGAAGGTGGCCATCAGCACTGACCTTACCTCCCGGTCCCTAGAGGCTGGATATACCTTGGTGGGACTTTCAGCATGCATTATCAGCAAGCTCTGCGCTGGTCCGCAGTGGGATCCACCCCACATTAGGCTCACGTCCCTTGCAGGCAAGGATCTTCAAAGAGCCACAGTGTCTAACGCAGAGCCTAGCATGTAAGACACCAAGACACCTTCACTATCAGATTTGTAAACGGAAATAAACAAATTACCCAGGCAAGAACGTCCTTATAGACCAGCCCTCAGAGAGCAGACTGCTTGGTCCAGTCTCGTCAGGAGGGTCCAGATGGCAGCCTGAGCACTGGGAAGAAACAGAACTCTTACCGCCTCCAAAACAGCCCGGGCAGCTTCTCGATTGGGGAAGACCACGGAGTTCGGCAGGTCTGGTACTACCGGGTGCAGCAGGGGTTCGGCGGTGGGCACCACGCGTGCACGGCCCACCTGCAGCTGCCCTCCATCCTGCAGAGCCCAGAGGCGCTGCCACAGCTGGCCTTGTGGGTCGGCCTCAAACTCGCCCAGGTGCGGGCACGGTGCCTCCTGGCACGTGCCCAGCAACTTTAGCAGAGCGCACCGGGTGTCTGGGCCATCGCTGGGGTCGCGTAGCAGGAATCCGTGCTGAGCGCCGCCGGCCAGGCTGCCGGGACAGTAGCAGAGCAGCCTGTGCAGCTGGCACCGCTGGAAGGGGCCGCGGCGCAGCTGGTGCAGCAGGCGCTGATGCAGCCGGGCCGCCTGGACCCGGGCCCCGCAGCTGGCGTCCAAGGCCACAGGCACGCACAGCGAGTAGCTGCGTCCGGGGGGGCCCAACAGCGCGGCCAGCCCGGGGTCGGGACGCGCGCTGGGGGCGTCGGTGTAGCTTGAGACGTCAGCGCCCAGGGTGAAATGAGCCAAAGTGCAGTCCGGGAGCTCCAGGGCGAAGCAGCGCGGCGGCGCCATGGCGGGTGCGCAGACCCCGCGCCGCGCGCGCAGTCGCCGCGAGAGTCGTGCGAGCAGTAGCTGGAAGCGAAAGCTACGCGCCGCCGGGAAACGAAAGCAGGGCCCAGGGAGCGAGGCCTCGGTCGGGCGCCCTCCTTGGCTCTCCTGCTCGCCGGGAGACGTGCGCCGTCAACAGCCCGCGGGAGGAGACGCTCGGCCCCGGGGCCCCAGGTGCGCGTCCTCGCCGGCTGCGCTGTCCCCGGGCGCCAGCTCCCAGGGCGGCTCCCAGCCCTCGCCTGGAGCGCCCGCGTGGCTCCCCTCGCGGGGGGCGCCCGCGTGGCGGGCGGCGGCCCGCAGCTGGTGCCGAATGAGAACCCGAGCCCTCGGCCAACGGTAGCCTTGCTGCGTTCTCGGTTGTGGCAGGTGACCCTAGGCCCTGATTTGAATTCCTTTTCAGTTCTGCCCGGTTTATCCTGTGTTGTGTGTGCGCGTGGATGGAGAGATGGGATGGAGGAGACAGAGGGACAGTGAGGTCTCCTCCCCCATAGCCAACTCATTGGCATTTCATGGCCCCCTGATTTCCAGACTCCCACTTGGCCTCTTCCCTGACTTGAACTGCCAGCGCTGCCCTCCCAGGCCAGCCTAGGTCACACAGAGGCCTTTCCTGCCTCACTGAGCCTCTGCACTCCTTTCGCCTTTGCTTGCCTAAGCTTTCCCCTCGTCTTGAAATGACCAAGCTTTCTGCTCACTCTCAAAGTGCGGAGTCCTGCAAGACGCACACCTTGAAATTGTCGTTTAGAGCCCACATTAAGGTTTCCTGCACTAAGGCGAACCGAGACAGGAAGCCCAATGGTCATGGCCGCCCGTAGTGTCGCCGCAGTCCTGTGGTGTTTACGCAGTTATGTGGGCACTTTATTCAAGCTTTACTCATTAACCAATGTCCCTAAAATGATTGCCAAACTCGGCCGCAGCGGCCCGGGTGGCAGGGCACTGCAACTGACGCGGGAGCGCCAGGGGAGGCTGGTGTTTGCACGGAGCTGACCCTGGGCGCTAGAGCTGGGTCACCTGGGAGGGTGGGGCACCCTCTCAAGGCTACCTCTCTCTCTCTCTTTCTTGTGAAAAGATTTTTTTGTTTTTTAGTCTAGAGGGCCCATGAACTCTCCAGAGAGAGAGAGAAAGAGAGAAATGTGAGAAAGCACCTCTCATGGGGGAAAGTCACTGGAATCCCTTCTCAGTCTTTCTCCTTCAGGATTTCCGGCCCACAGTCTTCAAATACACGCCTACTCTAAGAAATTAGGAGTTGGGGCTTCACTACATGAATTTCGGCAGTATGACACGGCCAATAGCCCTGCCCATGTGTATGGGCTGGTAGCCTGGCCTCTGTGTGCCCCGCAGGCTTCCGGAAGCCTTTTATACTCTCAGGGACCACCCCTGTATCCATCTGTTTCCCTCCACTGAGCATCTGACAATTAGTAGAAGTCTCACTCTTAACCTTTCCCTGAGCTTCCAACAGAAAGGAAACTGGGCTTTCAGTTTGCTAAATGAACCAGCCCATCTTGTCTGAGTTTAGGTATTTTCTATCCATGTCTACTCATCTCTGTCCTACAAGGACATGTAACATTAAGAACACTGAACCTGGGCTCAGTAGATATTAAACATGTGTTGAAGATATTAAAGATACAGTATCTTCATTCACAGAAGAACAACCTCTGTCCTACTTATGAGTCCCAGTGTCAAATTCCTAGAGCAGAGACTCTGGCAGTCCCCGCTGGATCTTCAGGCTGAATACACCTGTTGTGGGTGGAGAACTCAGGAGCTGGGAACACACTTCTCTGACGCATCTTGGAATGAAGGAATATCACAAGATGTATTCATAAGAAAAGCCACAACCTTCCACACTTACAGTAGCAAACAAAATATAAAACTCTTCAGGTTGTTCTGCCCCATAGGGGAAAAAATAGAAATAGAGAATCAAAACTATAAATGTAGTAACTAATAAATAATACAAATGTAAAATAATTGATCTTGTGAAAGAGCTTAGTTTGGAAAACCTGCTTTAAAAATATGCTTTTAGATAATTTATTCAAAAGGAAAAAAATTAAAGAAAATACAAATAAAAATAAAAGAAATACACAAGAACGTAGAGACAGAAATACATAAAAGGACAACAATAAGATTCTGCATTACTAAATTGGAATATCGCAAAATAAATAATGAGTTTGGAAAATAAGAATTAACAAACTAGGTCTAGGAAAGAGCGATGATTCTGTAAACCAAATCCCAGGAAAAACATTAATAGAAGAGTTAAAAAGCACTGAGCATGTTTAATCAATTCTTCATCTAGAACCAGAAAAGCCTTATTAAAAACCTTCCATTGGGGCTAGTAGTTGGTGTGGCAGTTAAAGTGTTGGACTCCCATGGGCCGACCAGTGTTTGAGTCCTGGACCTGGAGCCTTGCTTTCTCATTGCCTTTGTCTCTCTCTTTGTCTCTCTCTCCCTGGTGAGTGTACATGCCCTGTAGCAAATAATAATAATAATGATAAATTTAAAAAAACATTTTTTTTTAGTAAAAGTTATTTTTGGCACCTCTGGGCTTCCAATTAGAAGGGTGTTATACTCTGTCGTGGCTGGTTGTGCACTAAGAAATGGAGTTTAAAGAGCTATCCTGTGAGGAAAGAGTTAACACAGTGGGTGCAGATTCTTGCTCCTTGCTTATCTCCATGGGAACCTGGACTTGTGATTGATCCTTGAACTAAGACCCCCTGAAGTACTCTATATTGGTGATCAGTGACTCTGTTCTCTACATCTGGAGCATCAGACTGGGACACCCCAGCCTGTCGGGATCATTCGGCGTGAATGTCAAGACTGACGCTGTACACCTCATTCATTGTTGGGGTCGTGAGCTTTGGTTGCCATGGCTGGACCCATCGCAGGACATTCCTACGTGTCCAGCAGCCCTCCACACATCCCAGACCCTAAGGCTCAATCAGGCTTTTCTGGTCAGCAATTTCACACGTGTCCCTGGAGTTTGCCCCTGGGAAGGAAATGCTTCCTGTGCGACACAGATCCCGGCTTGCCATGCCCAGCCTGCCATCCCCAGGCACGGCTGGACTGCTTCTTTGCCCTGCTGCTCATGCCCTGCCTCCCCTGTGGGGAGAGCCCCGGCTGGGAGTGTCACCTGGCCCTGTGTGCCATAAGTCCTTACAAGTCGGCATACAGGAAGGTGGGCTTGGGGTCCTAGAACAAACACCCCCCCACACACACAAATAGAAATTTCAAGGAGTTCTCTTTTTTGAAGCACTTTGTTATTTTATTTCATTTATTGAACACAAACACACACCCAGTTTCAACTCTGGTCCCATAAATACCTGAAAAAACAAAAAGTCAAAGAGGATGCTTCCAATATGTATAACCAAGAAAACACACACTGTACCATGATTTCCAACAAATTAATAATAAAATGTAGGAAACTCAATAAAGAAACTGGGTAAGGCACATCACAAAAAAGAATATCCAAATGTCTAACAAGCATAAACGAATTCATAACATCATTAGTCACTGGGGAACTAGAAGTTAAAACGACAGTGAGACAGCACTATGCACACACACCGAGATGGCTAAAACTAAAACCAAAAACCTACAACGACAGCACTGGGCAAAACAGATATGCAGCTACCAGCACCCTAAATCCATTTTGGTAGTCGGTCACACTGCAGACCTGCCAGAGGTGTGTGCTACAGGACACACGTATACCTGGCCAGCCTGACTCCACTGCTGGGTCCCTGTAAGTGGGTTGTGCATGCCCAACATAAACGCATACACACGTGCACCAAAAGACGTATGCAAGAAAATCTATAGCGTCATAATAACACATCTCCAGGCTTATGATAACCAAATAATTAATGAGTGGTATAGTCATACAGTGGAACTCTGTAAAGCGCTGAAAATGAAGCCACGCACACTGACCACGACGGGATGGATAAATCTGCCACAGTAACATGGAACCAAAGACATTAGGTGTAGATTAGTACTGTGATTCCATGCAAGCAAACTTCAAGGCAACCCAACCAGAGGTGTAGCTTCACACAACCGGACTGGATTCTCCTCTGGGCAGAGGGAGGGTTTCATGACTGTGAAGACGTATGCAGAAGCTTCAGGGTTTGGCTAAAGTTCAATTTCTTGGTAACAACGGTCATTGCAGACACTGCTTTACATTTGCATGAACTTTACATGTGCTATTCTTCAATAAATGACCTGCTGAAGAAATGACCTGATGGTTGCACAACTGAGCAGACCCTGGAGCCCGTGAGTGCACCCAGCCACTGTTGGCATCGGGCAGGGGAGCACTCACTTCACAGCGCTCAAAGGACACTGGGGCTGTGTGGGACTTTCGGGGGAATTCTCTGGCTAAAGAAATGTGAAAACAAGATCAGGAAGGGAAAGACACTTATCCTAAGTTATACAGTATTAGCCAGACAGATTCAATACTTAAAATATTTGCCTCCAAAAACTCTGTGCTAGGCCAGCCCTGTACCTGGTGGTGGTAGGAGCTAGGTCTGACATGGCTGATTGCACTTCAAATCCCAGCCCCAGTGGCTTAGACAACACACTGGGAATGTGTGTGTGCACGCTCCAGATCCCAGCATGTTTCTCCCTCTCGCCCTCTCTCTCTCTGGCCAGCATACACACTTCTCTTTTTTGATTTGGTTTTCCTCTCTTTATGCATGTGTGATCTATAAAATATTAGTTCTGAACTGAGCCAGGTCATGGTGTGAGACTTTAAAGTACTTTTGGCTAAGAAGATTTGAAGGACTTAGGTCATAGTTGTGGTTGCATAACTGGTAAACACTAAGCATACACTTGTCATGCGAAATCTGTTTTCAGTTTCCCTTCAAAGTAAAAGGAAAGTCATTCTGTCTCCATGTAGAACGTGACACCATCAGGGGATCAAGTTCTAATCATAACTGAGCACTAAGTTTTCCAGGCACTGGATTAAGTGATCCATGGGGATGGCATTTTGCTTTTCTCAAAAATTTCATGAGATACACAGTTTTGCTGAAGAGGAAATGCAAATCCAGAGCTAGGAAGTGACCCCGGAGCTTAGCCACTAGCACTACTGCCACATCCTGCAGGTGTCATGAAAGCCTAAGACCACACACTCACACACAACCCCCATTAAAGGTACTGCAATGAAGGGGATTTCAGTATGAACGGCAGCAACACTGTCCAAGAAAAGTGTGAAACTAGATAAATGATGAGCAAGAGTAATCCTTGCCAGTTAGGAGCCATCATAGGAAAACATTTGATTTTCCTAAGTACAAATGTTATTAAAATGGTCAGGCCAGTCAGCGGCATGGTGGCTGAGGAAGCTGGATTCCGCAGTGTCACCTGTATAGTTTGAACCCCAGACCTGGTGACTTGCAAACAGGGCGTGTATGTGAACATACCCACAATTCCAAAAGGGGAAAAGGAGAAGAATTTGCAGTAACATTTGTCACTTAGTCCTAAGCTCTGGAACTACATCCCCCATGAGGGAGATGCCTTCTCTCTCTCTCTCTCTCTCTCTCTCCTTTCCTCTCTCTCTCTCTCTCATGCATATGCCCTCTGTCAAATTTGTAAAAAACGGAAATGGTCTCTTGAGAGACAGATGATGGCACAGACATTCAACTTGACGCAGGTGAGACTGGCCCACGTGAGAGGGTTTCAGACTCACCTCCAGAGCGAGTCTGAGTACTGGGGTGCCTGAGTGCCTATGGTCCAGGGCTGGATGCAGCTGGGGTGGAGCTCTGCACTTTTAGATTCCACACAAGGGGCATTTGTCCATGCTTATCGCACTCAGCATTGTCCTCTGCTCCCTACCACGTTGCAAGTGGCAGACTCTCCCTCCCTGTGGCAGATGAGCATTCTGTTGTCTGTAGACCACATGCCTTCTGATGGGCACTTGAGTGGATTCCACATCTTGACCAGTGCGAGCAATGAACACGGTGTCTGGAATCCCACAGATGCACAGACCTTTGGTCCGGACCCAGCAGCTTACAGGTGGAGTTGCTCACTCCTGCGGCAGTTCTGTCTAATCGGCCGTAACACCAAGCTTTTCTGAGGACCCTTTATAAGAAGCAGCCAGGGACCAGCAGATGGCGTAATGGTTATGAGCTGGACTCCCACATAGGTGACTGCGGTTCGAGTCCTGGACCCAGTGAGTTAAAACTCACACCGGGCACGTGTGCGTGCACACCCAAGACTCCGAGAGGAGAGTAGAGGAGACGGGATTGCTGTGTGGCCATCCCCCGTGTCTCTCTATCTTTCTCTGTCTCTCCAGTGAGTGCATGTGCCCTACAGCAAAAAAAAAAAAAAAAAACTCAAAAAAAAAAAATAAGCAGCAGCAGCAGCAGCAGCTGTAACATGATAATATTAAGAGAGATTTCTCTGCCAGATATGGAGAAAGACAGAGATGGATGTAGCACTCTTGATCCCCGACCACATCCGCTTAGAAAGGCTGGTCCTCACACAGGGTCCAAGAACACGGTGTTAGACGAAGCAGCTTGTGCTCCGGTCCTGAAGCCTCAGTCTTGGCTCTCATCCAACTTTCATTTTCATAAAGACAAAAATCGAAACTGTAACTCAGCTGGGTGTTAGTCAGAGAAGGTGTGTCCCTGCTAGGTGACAGGCCGACCTGCTCCTCTATAAAGGGAGGCTCAGGCTACAGGGCTGCCACTGGCCGGCACACACATGGGGCTGCTCCTGCCCTCCATGCTAGCAGGGATGCTGCTGAGCGTGCTTGGGCAGCCTCTGTGCTCCCTGTGGTGCAAACTGCTCCTGCTGCTCTGCTGGCTAAGGGAGGCTCTCTGGTCCCCAAGCATTGAGTCCACAGGGCCACGGCAGGACAAGGAAGAGCCCAACAAGACCCCCGAGGGAGAGGAAGGGGGCAGCCTCCTGCCCACCATCCCCGTCAGTGTCAACTACCACTTCACCCGTCAGTGCAACTACAAGTGTGGCTTCTGCTTCCACACGGCCAAGACGTCCTTCGTGCTGCCCCTGGAGGAGGCCAAGAGAGGGCTGCTCTTGCTGAAGGAGGCTGGTGAGTCCCAAGCCCTAAAGGAAGTAGGAGGTGCACCCGGGGGCAGCGGCAAGGCGAGAGGGGGCTGGAGAGCTCCCCCAGAGCCCTGTCCTCATCTGCATCTGCAGTGACTAACCATCCTGGGGGGACGTGATCAGGGCACTTATGGGTGATGCTAGGCCTTCCTGTGTCACAGAGCAGCCCACGGTGGAGGCTGGTGGAAGGCAGCCTCTGCCCCTCTAGGTGAGCAGAGGTGCAGCCAAGAGCTAGGTCTTGTTCTACCCCTTGTTTGCAAAGAGGCAGTTTGGGAAGACTGTCCTTCTTTCTGAGTTTGTGCAAAATACTAATGAATTTGGTTTTGCCAGAAATAATTAATGAGGAAAGTCAAAAACTGATGTAAGAGCAGTAGTTGGGTTTTTTATTTTGAACTACAGATGTAGTCTTAATATGATTCATAAACATTTATTTTGTGAGAGAGATGGATACAGAGAGACAGCGCCCCTACAGTCTTGCTGCCATACTCCCCCTCCAGTTTCAGCCCACCCCAGACTGTGGGTGCACTGCATCTGGCATACTCAGGAAGGTCTCCAGACACAGACCCAGAAACTGCTCCTGTGGGCCAACCGTGCAGAGCATCAGGTCTTACCTCTGCACCATGATCCAACCCTCAGTGGCCATTTTGAACATGTGTGTCAGTGACTGCTCTCGGGCATCCCCACATTAACAGCTTGCAGGTGTCTCAGGGGACTTGGCGACATCTTCCACTTCACATGTGTTCTTTGGCCATCCTCATCATCAGCGTCAACTGGCACCTTCTGCATGTCACTAACTTCCTCCTCACCCTGCTTGAGCTCTTTAGCAAAGGACAGCGTGCATGCACAAAATTGCACACACACCCATGGAACCAGTGCAGATCCAGAGAGAACACTGGTTTCTTGTACTCAAGTTGGGAGCATGTGACAGGAGAATTCTAACTCTGTGTTATAGCTTATAACTTATGACATGCATAGTCTTGTAACTGATTTGTGGCATGTAGGCAGCGTCTAGGCCTTAAAATGACCCATCAAGAAAGGAACTGGTATCTGGTTTTGGGTTGCAGGAATTGAGGACAAGAAAAGCTGAATAATTTATTCAGGGTCATGAGACTAGAGAAAAATGGATCCCAAGCTCCAAAATGGAGCAAGGCTCTGAAGCCTTTGATCTTTCTAAGCAGAGATTGCCCCACATCCAATTTGCCAAATGGGAGGTTTATGGGAGGCCAGATGACAATCGTTAGCTATTTCTAGCATCCTCTTCCACTGTCCTATGTGTTTGGACAGTGATACACCATAGCACCTCCATCTTCACAATCACGTGTGCATGACAACCTTATAATCCAATAACATGATTACTAAGAGTCATGGGGAAGTTCGGGCAGGTAAACCGGAGAAGATGAGACAGCCCGTTGGCCAGTGACACAGAGCTGTGGGTGAGTGAGTTCGAGGAGCATGTTAGAAGGGGAGGAAATGGGGAAACTGAAGGATGCATAGACACTGTCAAGGTCATAGACAGGAGACATTCATTCACAGCAGTGATGAGACACAGGAGTGGCCATATCAGGGCCCAGAGCAGGAGTGATGTTCAGTATGTTTAATTCTCTTCAGTCTTCTCTGTTGCAAAGCCAGCAAAGGAAATAAAACATGTTAGAAGCATTTTCAACCAGAATGGCAATCTTCTATGATGAGGCACGTTTAAAAAGCTGTATTAGAGCGTGATGGTGCAGATCAAGTCGTTGAGCACAGTGCTTGGTACTTAGCAAATATTGCTATTTCCTCCTTGACAAGTTTTCTGGACTTTTCACTATTCCAGCTGGCTTTCCTACTTAGTGGATTTCTGTCACCAAATCTGTTCAAGGTTCTTACTAGATTCAACACGTGCTCCCTTGGTTTCGAGCTCTCACATCTGTTCTCTTCCTGTGACTTGTTCCCCTCACTCTCTCCTGCCTGGTTCCCACCACCCTCTACTCCGTGTGCACCATCTCATCATGTCTGTTTGCATTGCAGCAGAGCTCCGAGAGGTGGGGTGTGAACTTGGCAGTGCAATGAGTTGCTTACCAAACAAAAGTCCATGGTAGGAACGGCCTACATCCTGTGAGCCCTGAGTGCAGAGCATCCAAGGAAAGCTTAGTGAACTGAGTGAGACTGGCTGGACCTGGAGATGAATCCCACTGGGATTCTGTCACTGTATGGTCCGCCTCCTGGTTAACTGTGGCATATTTACCTCTATTTCTTCTTTCTCTCCTCTGCTCCATCAAAACTACAGTAAAATAATGGGATGGGGGCGGGGAGGGAAGCCCACAAAGATGTAGTTCTAACTCTGTGTAGTCGTCACTCCACAGCATGGCAGCTTCGACCAGAGCCTGCAGGGTAATGGCGACAGGATACTTGTCGGTGTGTCTCTGAGCTGCAGGGGTGCTCAGGAACCTGCATCACACAGCAGGCTAGTGCAAGGCTGGAGGGGGACGGGCTGAGGCAGACCGTTGGCCACCCTGCTGTGCTCAGACAGTGGCACCCCAGTTCCTGCAGGAGTCTAGTTTATTTTCTGAAGTATCTCGACACGAAGGACTGTGCATTCAGGGAACCAACTCCGGCAGGGAAGGAGCCAGTCCCATGCTCCCAGAATGCAGGCGGGCAGGCATGGGACACACAGAGCTCTTCTCTGGGAAAGCAAAATGGCTCCAGAGAAAAGATCAAAGACGCAGGCATGAACAAGCCAGTTCTCTCAGTCACTCTCATAAAGCTCTTGGTTGGCCAATAGCTCTCCTCCTCATGGGAATTCTATCTAGCTATTTTGGGCTTCACTCAAATCTAAATGGAGGCCTGGCCCATAGTGCAAGGGTCAAGCACAGTGCATCTGTGGCCAGATCCTACATGACCAAATGAGGTTCGAGTCCTGGCCCAGGAGTTTGAGGGCCACACTGCGTGTGTGTGTGTGTGTGTGTGTGTGTGAGAGAGAGAGAGAGAGAGAGAGAGAGAGTGCCCAAAGTCCTGATAGGATGGAGAAATGGAAGAAAAAGAATGTGTAATGTCACCACGTTCCATTGGGGGCTCTCTCTCCGGTGAGTCACATACATAAATGGAGTAGTACAAACTTCAAAAGATATTCATCAGAAGAAATAAAAAGAAAGGAAACAGAAAAAAAGGAAATGTCAAATAACCTGTAGCTAATCATAGCAGAAAGATAAGAGAGAGAATTACACAATATAAAATACAAGTTGGTGTTAAAGAATAAATAGAATATAGAAGTGTTTGGCGAATTAAAAATGAGGTTTCTCAAATTAAATTTTTAACAAAGACTAAAATGGTAAATGTAAGAAAAATGAGATAAAAGGGGCAGGATAGACCATTAGAAGGAAAATAAGAAAACAGTTGAAATTGAAAAACTCCAACATACCAGTAATAACATTTCCAAAGGAGAAAGAAGCAAACATTCAGAAGTGGGAATTATCAAACAAACAGCATACACAGCTTCCCAGAGCAGAGAGAGCTGCGTTTCCGGGCCAAAGGCCCGCAGAGTGGCCAGACACCAGGGAGAGAGTGATCCCTGGGGCTCACTGTCTTGACATTCAGACATCAGGAAGACATCTCTGTCCCCAGAGAGCAAAAACGTCACGTACCCACAGTGAATTATAAGTGTGAATGTTACCAGAATGACAGCATGAAAATCTACAAACAATGTCTTCGAAACTCTGAATAAAAAATGATTGCACAGGAGTGCTAGCTGGCCCGGCCATGATCACAGATGCATTTGAAACATACACGTATTTACTTTTCTTATTTTAATTTTTTTTCAGGGAGCACATGCAAGAATTTTCCACAATAGGGGATCAAAGGACCCTAAGACAACAAGTTGGGTCCAGAAGAGGGCAGGGGGACTAGAAGTTGTGGGGTGTGGGGTACTGCTTCCAGACAGGGAGCTGGGCCTAGAATCACCTCCCAGCCTGCACTGAGGTGGCTTTTCCTCTAGGTCTCGGGGTAGCCTTTTTATACTTCACCTTCTAAGCCATTCTCTTCCTCTATGTAACTGACTGTATTCAAGTGCATCTATTTCAAAACAGGAGGAACATTTTCTCATTTTGCTTCCTGGCTAGACCCTGAATTAAATACAGGGATATTTTCTAGTTCCATAGAGTGGGGTCAATGTTGGGAAATAGGGTTAGGGAAGGGGAGACTAATAAGAAACTTTATTTTCTTTTATGCCTTGAGTAAATATTACCTTCACCATTAGAATTATAATGGAGGAGAATTCCTGCTTCCCCCCTTCCCTCCCAGGTATGGAGAAGATAAACTTCTCTGGTGGAGAACCCTTTCTGCAGGACCGCGGAGAATACCTGGGCCAGCTGGTGAAGTTCTGCAAAGCCGAGCTGAGTCTGCCCAGCGTGAGCATCGTGAGCAACGGCAGCCTGATCCGGGAGAGGTGGTTCCAGAATTACGGTGAGCTTCCTCGCACCCGAGGTCGGCGCGACTGCTGCTCTTGGCTCCTGCATTTCCTTCCATCCTGGACCTCAGGCCAGGCCTGCTGGGGAAGGGGAGGGAGGAAAGCAAACATTAGTTACTCTAATCTCTTTTCAAGCTGTACACACAGTGATGTTGGCAGCTTTGTCTCTGTGGGGCTCTGAGCAGCAAGATGGAAAGACAGATAGGGACAGTGTCGTTCGCAGGACTGTCTGCACGTGTCAGTGTAGCAGGAGGTGGGACCTGCGGCCTGAGCTTTGCTGCTATTGGGAGAGACAGACACATTGTCCAGCTGTGTAACAAAGTACCTCTGTTGGGATGGACTCAAGGGGAGAGGAGTTACATCAGAACCTGTTGTGAGACCAGCCAGTTGCGGGGATTCCAAGGGTTTGCACTGAGCAGCCAAGACTAAGAACTTCTGAATCTGAAGACTACTGAGATTCTTTACAGTTCGGTTATAGGGGTATGCCGTGTTCTTGTGTAATGCTTGGGATGTACCAAGCATTTGGAAAAGGTCAGCTTTTACCACCACTGTCATTTGGGGCGGCAGTTACAACACAACTCTCGCAGCCCACTTCCCTGCTCTTGCTTCATTGGATGGTCTGTTTGAGTCTTGAAATCATCCACAGGGAAATTCTGTAATCTGTTGAGGATGTTAACAACAGTTCTTTTATCCAACACCACTCTGAGACGATGCAGAAACAAACGAACCAGTGGGAGAGGGGAGGTGCGGGGGTGGGCAGCATGGTCTCTGCCACAGAGGCTAAGGAGGTGGACAAGACTGGCTGGAGAGGAAGGTGGCTCACAGGACTACAGGCCGTCTGCGAGACCGGTCCTCAGTCCTCTCGGGGATCTGCCAGCCAAGGCTTCATTCAACTGACAAATCTCTGTTTTGTTTTGTTTGGGGAGGAGGGGCATAGATTTGGTTAGACACCGAATCTTCACTTAGTTGCCTCTTCCCAATATGCTATGCTTTTAGGAATTCGAGATTAAGTTATAGAACATTCGAGATCTCCTAAATACTCTGGCTCCAGATGGGGCTGGATGCGTGGAGCCATGTGTTACATGCAGGTGACATAATGTTAGCTCCACAGTTGGAGTCAAAATACTTGGGGCATGAAAATAGACAATGGTTGTATAAAGGGTTTTTGGAGCCCCTGGCTTCTATCATTTGAAAGCATTTTTTTTTTTTTTTTTTTTTTTTTTTTTT